TTCAGTGGGCTAATCCTGGGAATGTATGTTTATGATTGTGACAAGGATGGGTTCTTCTGAGGAGCTCTGTGTAGTCATAAATATTTTTTATACATGCTTCCACCGGAATCTAAATCAGTGATATGTAGATTTGTAATAAATACATAGATACACTATATCATTTCTCTACATCTTCCACTGAACAGTTTATCACCTGCCTGCACATCCACATACATACACACCATTACTCCCTTTCTGTCTCTCTCACACGCTCATACATGTACAACACACTCAGTGCATGCCACATTCAGGGTATCAGATTCATAAATATTAATAAACCCTAATCCTTTACAGATAATTCTTTTTTTTTTTACATATAAAGTTTTAACAGAAAAGGAAAACTTCTAAACATACAAAGAGCAAAGTGAAAATCGTCATCGCGATTTTTCTCCCCAAAATGAATCAACTGGTTGCTAACAGAATAAATAAAAGGACTTCGAAAAGGGACTTAGTGGCCGCACCATCAAAGTGATTTTTTTTTCCTGGAGAGACACTTTCCTTTGGAGCCCCAATGAAATACGGTAACAGCATAGGAGGGAAGCACACTGTTTCTTTAACTGCTTCTCAAAGGATCCGGGAGATCTTCTTAGGACCTTTAATAAGGCTTTGGTGAGGTTCTTTTGTTGATCTCTCAAAATCAACTCCTTCTAATTGAAGTTGGAGCTGAAAGCGAGCTAATGTTCAAAGGAGCGACCGCCAGCTCGGCCAAATTACATTTTTTTCGTTGAGGGGACATTTAATCAAACGGAGGGGGGAGAGCGAAGGAGAGGGAGAAGAGGAGAAAAGAGGTTTACAAGATCCTTCTATTGCCCACAAAAGTCAGCGACACGGGCACCTCTCCGCAGAACAAAGCCGCCGCAGCCCATTCACAAAAAAGGGAGAAAGATGGGGCAGCAAAGGGAGGCTTTCTGGGGCCAATATCTCGGCCAAAGTCTAAGCAGGGCGAAGTGCCCTTAGGTGCTTGAGACCTTGTCCATTTCGGAGACCATTCTTCGCAGGGCGAGGGACTTGAGCTTTGAGAACGAAGGCCCTTTTCTTCTGCAGTTCTCAGAGCAAAACAGCCCCCAGCACCGCTATACCCCAATCTAGGATGAGAGATCTGAGTCAGGACAGTGGTCGTCTTCCACGGAAACACCTTGCAGCTCTCTCTCCTTCGGCCAGGGAGGAGGCAGATTTAGAAGCGTGTGGCAGGTTGAGGGGGTGAACCGGGGGGCGAAGAGGGGAAGGCGGATGGCGCAGGAGAACATTGGGCCTTCCCTGAGTCGGAAATGGAGCCTGGCAGTCGCCGGTTCTCCCCGTCTCAGGCTCCCAACGAGGCGATCAAGTCGAGAGAAAAGCTCAGAGTATCAAGTAGCACTAAACCCCTGCGCTTTACTCATTCGCTCTGGCTCTCTCTCTTTCTGCGTGTGTGTGTGTGCGTGCGTGTGTGCGCGCGCGTGTTTTCTCCCCCTGTAATAAGAGTATTTGTCTAATCCCAAATTGCAGGCGAATTTCCTTAATGCTCAGCCCATAAAACCCCTGGATTAAGGGCAGCAGAGGGGGGCACGAGCAAGCACAGCCAGAAAGGAGGCGAGAAGCCAGAGAACAGGCACAGAAAAGTTGAGCTTGTGCGGGAAGGCGCCGAGGATGCGGGTCTCCCTGCCCAAGTGGCCAAAGAAAGAAGCCCCCGAAGGAGGAAGCCCAGCCTGAGCGGGCATTGACCTCCTTCCTCTTGGCCTGGCCAGGGGTTCTGAGCAAGCGGGGCCTAAACGGGCAGCTTCATCGCTCCTCGAAGGACCGCTTTGGGAAGGGCATCTCCAGGCAAGGCCGCCGGGCAGCACCTTTTGGACCCAGCTGGCTCCCACTCCCGGCCTTGGCCGCCCTCGTGGCTTCTGGCTGGGCAGGCCCAGGGAAGGGCAGGAAGGTAAGCGACAGCAGGGCAGGCAGGCAGCCCCTTTCTCTCGGGGCGCTACGGACGGGCCGAGGAGGGAATGGGGTGGAAGGAGAAACCCAGCGGCCTGTGCGGGAGAAAGAGGTGGCCGGACGAAAGGGGGAAGCTGCTGTGTCCCCAAGCTCCGGGAAACCGAATCTGGCCGGCTCCCTCTCCGGCTCCCTCCGCCAACGCCTGGCCTCCCAGGTTTGCCCGCGCTGACTGTGGTCGCTCCCCAAACTCCGTCCCTCGGCCTCGCCCGCTGGTTGTGTCTGTCTTTGTGTCGGTAGAAGTGCCTGATGGAGCTGCAATGCCTGGAAAGAGGCCGGTGTGTTTGTGCGTGCGTGCGTGCGTGTGTGTGTGTGGGGACATCTAAGACGTCCCCCTCCCAGCAAAGTTTTTTTTTCCTAAACAAAGAAGTTTTTTCCTCGGTAATTACCGGGGTGGGGAGGAGGATTACAGGGGGAAATAATCCCCTTCAAACCTGGGCGAGAAGCTACCCGAGATAGAGCCCCTTCTATTTTGGGGAAGGGAGGGTTGCTACTGGTGGAGGTCGTTTCAATCCGCAGTAGGAAAGCAAAGAAACACAAACCACCCACCCCATTTTCTTTCCAATTTAATAGCCGGGTTCCCCGGGCAGTTCAGCCGAAATCCGTGGCGTTTGATTATTCGGGCAAGGCTACTGGAAGGGCGGAGACTTCGAAACAGATGTGATTCGTTGAATCAAGGGAAGCTGGATTCCCTTCAGGGACCAGACGCGCCGGCCGCTGAAGTTACTCGACAGTAAAGTTGCAGTGAAATGCCAGGACCCATTAAAGGCGCGCTAAGGGTCAAGGAGCTTCCTTCCGACGGTTTCCCCATCCCGTGGGGGTTACTTTCGAGGGGGACCTATCCTTTACCCCTGGCCCAAGCTCCCGTTTTGTTTCGAAAGTCTGCCATCGCAACCGCTGTGTTCAGATTCACCACCCCACGCGAGAAGCTGTTCTGTTCCGCCCAGCCTGGCCAGGACAAGGCCGTGTCGAAAGGCTCGGCGAGAGCGCCCGCCTCTGCTCACCCCGCCCTTTCTCTTCTTTGCGGGAAGGAGGTTTCACTGGGGGGGGGGGGACGCCGCCCCCCCCCCCCTCCCCCCCCCTTTTTTCCTCTTTGGGGGGAAAGGGGTGTTAGAGGGGGGGGGGGGGGGAGGAGCACCCCCCCCCCTGCTCCCCCCGAACAGCGCCAGCCAATGGCGCAGCTGGACGGGCCGCTCTGGCAAGTGCCAGCTTGGGGCACCGAGTCCAAGCGTAGCATCGCCTCAGCCCGGCCGGCCGTTCGCGACCAATTTAACTCCAGAGTGGGCTCGCCTCCTGCCTCCCCCTCCGCGAGAAGGCGACGGCAATCCGTCCCTTCGAGGGCCCACTTTTCCAGCTGACGACAGGCGTGTGAGCCCCGGTAATGCCGGAGAAGGGAGAGTTTTCCGCGGGAATTGCGCGCAGCAGGAGATCAGCCGGCGAACAGCGCGCCCCGCGTCTGGAAGCTCCCCGACCGGCCTGCCGTAGGCTCTCGCTGGGGGCCCGGAGCCGCGCGGAGCTCCCCTGGTTGGGGAACTGGGCGGGGGAGGGGGAGGGAGACACACGCTAAACCGCGAATTAATAAATTCTAATCTGGCTCTCGGGAACCAGCAAAGCGAATTAACCGAGCTTCTCGTAACAAAGAGGAACGCGGTCCGCCGCTTGTCTGTCTCTCTCTTCCTCCTCGGCCCAAATTAAACGCCGCTTTTAAAGGCGGACCGAGGCGGTGGAATTTGTCGGCTTTGTTGGGGGGACAGGCAAGGGGGGGGCGAGAAACGCGGGAGGAGGAGGTCGTGTATAGTGCGGGGGAGATTTAGGAAGGGGGAGGAGAGAAAGAAGCGAGGGAGGGTAGAAGGGAGAACGGAGTGAGATTCTGTCCTGAATTTCATCCAGTCATCGACGAAGATAAGAGGTTTAATTCATTTAGCATATGAACGCCCGCAGAAAGCGATTCCCTTTATGAATACATCCAAAGGCAGAAGGCACAGTTCCCTCGTATTTACACTGGCGCTTGTTATCATTTTAACCGGATTATTCACGATGTGGATTCTGTAACATATCGGGGATTCTCCGTGCAACGCTTTTTGTTCTCCCTCCCTTCCAGTATAAGCCCCTGATCTGGATTGTGAACCTCTCTCTCCCTGTGCCCCCCCCCCCCAGTTTTCCAGTGAGCTTTGCATCCCTTTGACCGGCAGAGAGATCTGAGCGGCTTCCAGACAGGAGTAGAACAAGTTGCACATTTGTAAGGCCCACTTCTGCCCCAAACTTCTCCCACTGCAAATAATCCTTTAGTTTAAATCTTTTAAGAGTACAGCACAACCGATCCAATTTCTGTTTAAACCAATTCAGCTCACATCCAGAGGAACGCATTACTTGTCTTGGCACTGTTTTTAAATATTCTTCAGACTTGTTGAACAGGGCAGAGTGTATCAATGCCAGATCCTGGGCTACAGGTTTAATTGTAAAAATAAGAAGTAGCTTAGGCTGAAATCCTATACACATTTATCTGGAAGTAAGCCCTGGGTTCAGTCAGGCTTATTTGTTGATAGAGATATGTGCAGTATGCTGATTAAAAAAAAAAAACAACTTTGGATACACATGTGCTATAATGTCAGTAATTTCTAAGAAGTTTGCTTCACAGAACTCAGCTGTATTTATTTCCAATGAATAAAAGCAAATTACTATAGCAGAATAAATTAACAAATTATTCTAATTTATATAAACTTACACGGACAGATGAGTGCCCAATCTTTGTGTAACAATATTTGTCAAAAAGCTCTAAATATTAGACAATAAGTCATATATAACAATTACAGACAAAAAAAGAGATTAATGCGCTCCCAATTAGTTCCAATTTCTCACTCAAACAAACAAACAAACAAAAAAGGTGAATACAATACAAACCTTGTGTTTTGGGCTGACAATTGTACCATAATGCCCTAGGGAAATATCTGGATTTGAAATGTATAAAAAAAAGTAGCCCAGCCCAGCTATGATAAGAAAGATCCAGCTTTATTGAAAATTTATACATAACTTGGTATTGTAATAAATAAACATAACCATTTCCACAAAAATGAGCATGATGCTAGAGAAAGATATATTTACTTGCAAGGAGATTTTGCAAACAATGGCAAGACAAGACCCCTGATGGATACAAAATAAATATTAACAGCACTGTAGAGTCAGAGTGCAGAGGTCCAGCACAAGATCAAGAAAAGGGAACTAAACTAACAGGTAAATAAATAATTAATAAAAACGGGGTAGCCTCAAAAGAAGAATTTTCTGTAAACTGATCATACTTCAGTTAGCCTTATCTTTACAATCACTTCTTTAGGTTGCAAGATTCTTAGAAGGTATTGGTTAAAAAGAACTGCTCTCTGAGCACGTAAGAAAGCCTTAAATGTTATAATTGTACTTACAATGAAAGTGTAAAACTGCAGCTGAAATAAACATTGGTAAATATAGCACATTGTATTAAATGGGTCTGAGTATGATCTAACAATAAAATGGTTGATAGCATATTTAATATTACATATGGCAGAACTAGATGAAACAATTGAGCATATGTTTCTCTCTCTCTCTCTCTCTCTCTGCTATGTGACTACATAGAACAATGTATTTGCAAGATTTTTAACTAAAAACATAATGCTAGGGTTTTCTCCCTTCTTACACAACTGGGTGGCTGCTTAAACATTTGGGAACAAACTTATTTAAGATAATTAAGCCCACAAGGAAATCCTGGGGGAAAGCTAATTCTGAAACACTATTGCTTGAATGGAAAGGGGAGAAGAGAATCAGAAAACAATTTAAGATAAAGCTGGTCTGGCCAAATGGAAATTTCTGAAGTTTTAAGAGGTCTATTTGTGTTTTAGTTTTTCTAGTCTTGGTGTTGGCATGTATCCAAAATGTAAGAAGGGTGAAATTATAAAAAGTGACAGCATCTTGCCCCATGAAAGCTAGTCACTGAAGGACACATTTCTCTTCTTTCTTGGCCATTTTTCCTTTGTTTTGTTCAAGTGTCCTTTCCAAATGCTCATCTTCTTCTTCAGCCCTAAAAAATCAAATACAATTGTCAGTAGTTTTCCTAACAAAATTCTACTTTACATTTCAATGTAATAGTTCTGGCACAGATAAAGAGTTTAGGAAGCAGTCACTTCAGGGACCAGGTTACACCATCTGTTTCTATAGGTAAGAACTAGTAGCAGATCATGTTACCAAAGTGCAGGACTTAAAGAGATTTAATTGCTTCAATGCTGCATTACTGACCTTCTCTCAAAGATTTTCTTCTTGAACATAAAACATAAGTGCTAGAAAAACTTGTCATTATTACTGGGGTTCATCAAAAATATGAAACTTACTGTTTTTCTTGGGCATCTAAATCTCTGACCAGAGCATCACGTTTATTAACGAGAATAACAAGTTCATCTAGCAAAAGTTGCTCCCGCCTCTTCTGAGCTTCAGTCTTTTGCCAGTCTGAAAAGAAAAGAAATCCAGAAATGTGTGCTTTGAGAGCTTAACGTACATATGATCTAAACAAATCAGTGTCACAGGGCTGGCCTCCACAATAAAGCCACTTCCTTTGTAGGGACCCATAAGGGATTATTTTACTTTCCTATCGATGTATATAACTACAAGAAATTTAATTTGACTTCTTCAGGTTATTGTTTGATAAAATCAGATTCAATAATTTTCAGCATTATAAAAAAAACACCTATGGAACATTTTGGAGTAATACCACTCAATCACATAAATACAAGCTTGTATGAAACAGAACAAGTTTTTTGGGGGTTGTGGTTTGACAGACTGAAATCCTACACTCACGCATTTGGGAAAAAACCTTATTTTACTCAACAGGTCATATTTCAGAGAAATATGCAGAAGATTGCATTATTAATTATTATTTATGTACTCATTTTTATTACGGATTTCCTAGACAACTCCCATCCCCTTCCAGTGTATTTAGAGTTTTTGTTTCTGAACCAGGAAAAAACAAAAAAAATAGATTGAAAAACTGCAAAAACAACATAGAACAAAGCGTAACCACACTGCAATCTCCTTTCTCCTCCAAACGGATGATAATTTTCCATTTTTCTCCCTTGCTACATCTTAGCAGTTGGAAATGCCTCACACTGGGCACCAGATGCTTCAGAATAACTTTAAAATGAGAATCAACAATTAGGGTCTCCTATGAAATAAAAGTACATCCACTAAATGATATTATTCAACTTCTTTTGTAACAATGCGGATGGTTTGGTAGTTTGTCTAATAAGCTGAATCTTAGGTCCGTATAAATTCCAGATTTGTTCACTACAGTTCAACAGCCGCAATAAGAGTGCTTGTACGGGTAAGAACGTACACCTTTTTTCCCCACTGTGCAGATTTTGCTTTAATTTTTTTATTCTAAGAGGTCACAGAAGGAATGAGATTCTATCATATTTAGGCAGGTCTCTTTGCTGATGTCTCTTCTTATAAGACAAACAGTATCAGTGTTTCATTAAAAAGGGCAGTTTTAACACTGAAGCACACCAAACAAACTGCTCTAGAGGCCAGACTGCAAGGGCCTGTATCTGTCACTCAACTACCAGCCTGTCCCGCCTCCCTCATTAGGAAGGTAAACAATGAAGAGAAGGAGAAGGAGATGATGAGGGAGATAGAAGAACAAATGAGAAGCAGGAGGGAAACAGGACACCCACCTTTAAAACAAAAAAACAAAAAACAACCCCTCCATAGCTTCTGACTCATGTGGTGTCCTCTATCAACTTTCCAAAAAGCAAAGGAAAGGCACTGCAAGTCTTCTGGATTCCTCTCTTCTCTGTCCACTGCCCTGAGCAATCATGTTAAACCTCACATGGCTGGTGCTTATTCAGATAAACCTAACAATGCACCCCAATGGTTACCATGTGAATCTTCACAAACCACACAAGAATGTGCTGGTTCAAATCCCCCTGACCCCCCCTGCAAAGCAAAATTTATTCAAGGCAGCAAACTGTTCAGAAGCTTTATGAAAGCAAGTGGTGCCAGAGTGAATTTGGTTTTGTATTTACAAATTAAAAATTAGATGCAGATTCATCCAATAAAGGTTAGGACGGCAATAGAAAGCAGGAATGTGTGGCCCAGTCTTTAAATTGCTTCCCTAATATGCACAGTTAGCATATGCATACTAAGAGACACAAGGGGAGTGCACACACATGCAGAGAAGGAGAAAATAACAACTATTTTATCTAAATATCTCATTGAGAAGAAGGGACACTGACAAACATTTTCCCCTTAAAAAGATATTACAGATTCTCCTATTATTCAACAATAGCCAGCATCTGCATTTTAATTTAAGAAGAACATATTTCTAACCTATATGTAACTTGTTGAAAATCTTACATTTGAATTCCTATATTCAGAACTGGAAAGTAAAGCTAGAACAACTGCCACCTCTGAGTTAAAATAACATCCAAAATGTACTGACCAAAATACAGTTCAAAATACATTGTTTGAAATAAAACCTGCAGATTTCAGTGGGATTCACTTTCCATGGAAGCTCAGTTTAAGCAAAGCTTCCTTTATTGGATAAGTACCACAGTTTCACTAAGATACTAAATATAACTTTATATCTTATTCAGAAGCAAGCAGTGTAATATTTCACATACATATTCTTACTGTACTTAGTTTTGCCTTTTACTTTCTAACTGAAACTAGCTTACTTCATAATTTGAAGGAAGACCTGCTCAGGATAAACTGGGTTAGGTATTCTGATTACATTCTCAAAATTCAAAACCTAAAATGTTGAGCCATCATATGCAGAAACAGCATCAATCAATGTTCCATGCATGCATGTATACATGTATGTTCACATTAATGTCTTTCAAGAAGGAAGAAGGGTGGCATAAAAACTCCATTATATTCTGATCAAAGTGAACAACAGAGATGATAATTCTGCTGATCACATTTTGGGATAATACTCAAATATCCAAGAAAGTCCTACAGTCTTAGATAAAAACTTTTTTTTTTTAACAACCTGCTTAAGCAACCCCCTGAACCTTCTTTGTACGTACTTCAGTTAGTCCTCATTGCATTTATACAGAAAAAAGTTCTACTAATTTTAGGTGAACTCACTTCAGCTACAGGTGCTCTTCTCTCTCTCTCATTCTCTCTCTTGAACTTTTAAAAAAATACCCCCCCCACCTACTATCCAAATGTGGCACTATTGGCCAAGATACATTCTAAAAAAACAAATATGCAACTTGTGTGGCTTCAAACAGCAGCTGTGTTCCCTCCCATGTCACAAACGAAACTGCCTTTGAAATGAAAGATAATTGGTTATATCACATAGATGTAAGTTACTTAAAGGCAGGAAGAAGCCAAACCTTCTGTTAGGATTAATGCTGCATTTCTACATATGTGGACTCTTAAGTCCCTGTAAGTCCCAGGTAAGTGGGTGTAGGGCTGCAGCCCAAACAGTTTGCGTGTCTCTAACCATTTGGATTCTGACCATTATTATTCCTACTCTTGCTATGCCTGCAACCGGAGTTCATTGACTGCAGAATTAACAATAATTACAAACCTTTCACTCTGTTCCTCTGTACTGTAGATGGTGGTCTATCTAGACTCATCACCCATTGCCTTATTAGCTGTAGGTCATGTTCAATTTTTAAGAAATTTCATTGTATAAAATATATAACAATAACAGCACCAAGATGTATTTGTTTTACTGAGGTTTATTCCTTTGCATTTTTATAAAAAGACTACGACAAGCATTCTGGAAGAAAAACATCAGAATGAAAATGACCAAAGTTCTATAATTAAAAAAAAAAAAAAAATTCAAGGTTGTCAGTATAAAATAAGCTTTGTACTTTTGATGAAAACTAATGTGAGTTTTGTAAAGAGCACATTGGGTGATGGTAGTTAAAGTCTTATCTTTAGTTCTAGTCAACTAGCAATCCCGAAAGAGTCTGCATCATCATCATCATCATCATCATCGGCCATTTGATAGAATTCTACTGCTGAACCTAATCAATCTATGGAATACTGTGGCAGCACTATGTAACAAAGCTAAAATAGATTTACAAATGGGGTTTTAGGGGATAAGCTCCTCCACAGGATTACCTATTGATTTTAAATATAAAAAGCTTATCATATAAATCAAAACTACAAAAATAGTGAACCTATGCATAAATCCTTTAAGAAGAGCACTCACTTCAAACTTGAAGCCAAGAATAAATGTACACCATTCTAAAGAAGATCCATTTCTTAGACAGAAAACTGTGCCTCCACCCCTACCCTAAGGTGTGCAAAACATGAACATAATCTTTTTCAAGAAGGCATTAAATTTGAACCAAAAGGACTATGCATGCATGAAGATCCTCAGTACTCAGCTGGTGACTGCTGTATGGTTGCACTCTGTTTCCATGAGACAATTTGATTCTGCACTAATTATAAGCCTCCTTCATGTTTCATGAAAGCACGTGAGGTATGAAAAGCCAGGCAACTGATTTCTGAGATCCTGACCCTTCTTCTTCATGTAGTGTAATTTTTATGCTTTTCTAAAAGATAAGATTGCTACAAAGCTATTATACTACTAGGCCAAGCTGAGGATTCCTTTCTTAAAGGTGAAGTGAGTAGGAATTAAGTGCAACTCTAAAAAGTATCTGCTCCACAGCTTGAGAATTACAGTTTTGGAGCAATATGCAACCTGAAAGCAAAGCTGACAAAAATTTTTATAAACTCTAGTTAAATGTCTTAGGATGGGAATGGGCAGCATCTGCATTTAAGTACACATCTGCAAATCATAAAAACAAGGTTATCAAGTAGATTACACGTAGTTCTATAGATAAATGTTAAAGTATTTACATCCCTATTATTTATACAATGTTAAACATGTCCCAATTAAATTTCATGTTAAATAGCACAGAGGACAATGCTGAACTCTGTGAAACTGCATATTCAAATGATGGGATGTCAAACAGGATCTCCTAGTACCTTGCAGAACTACAGCTTTCAGGCCGCAAACCTGCAAGCATGCCTATACATACAAAGGCAAAACTTTCAATGGAAATAAGGTTATAGGCATATTTAAACATTTTAATGCATTTATAAAGCAGCATAATCTGTGCAAGTTCTAAGATTTGGCTCCATATCTTGGAGCTTTACAACTCAGGGCTGCACGGTGCGCAGCTCAAAATTTTGGTATTGCCTCAAAAGCTGTTGACAAATTTTGTTAGCACACCAATATGCTATCAGGCTGCTGTGGCACAAAATAACTTAACTCGTGCTGGTCATGCAGTAAAGTTTTGTGAGGTTTCCTCTGGTGACTGGAATAGATCAGGAACTGGCTACTGTTCTACCCAGCTGGAAGTTAAGTGCCATGCACATACAACTAATTTCCTTGTCACACAAAGAAAGAAACAAAGCAAACAACAATTTTCTCCTGGCTCAGCTATTGCATTTTCAGTTACTACTTCTGCTTTGCCCACTACATGTGGACAATGGTGACTTTATTTCTATTAGCCTCTACTTTTCTTTTCTTGTTTTTGAAGCTAAGGTTGGCTGAAATGGTGCTCAGACGTTGCCGTCTTGGTTTACTGCTTTCTTGGCCAAGCAAGACTACTTTTCATTTCTCTATTCACAAGTGCTCATGTTTCCAGGAAGAAAAGAGTGAAAAATAAGAAATGGTAAGACAGACACTTGTGCTAGAGAAAAGGAGCAAGGGTTCCTGAGTAATGCAATTGGTAATTTTTGAAAAAATAGTTTCTCTTTGGTCAGCTGATTAACAGATCAAGAACCACTTCTTAATGTGTTCAAGATTGCTTGGAGACATTGGGAGATAGGCAGACAGTGCTTCTGATTCGCTCCCCTGTTTCCCACTGATAGAAGATCCCCAAAGGTCCTTGTTGCAGATGTGCTGCCACTAGAGATTTGCCTGTACACCACTGTGAAAAGCCAATAGAAGTCAATATTCCCACAGGATGAAGGAAGATACTATGATATCCTAAAGAGTTGAGGACATGTGTGTAGATACATGGTGTGCAAGGAACAATCAACTGAGAAATTTAAAAAAAAACAGTTGTAAGGGATTGTTACATGTGGGTATGTATATATGTATTAAGAGGAGGAAATCATTGTATGTATGTGTGCAAGAATGTATGTTTGTGTATTTAGAAGTAAATGCATTTAGTAATTACATTTGTTAATAGAATGCAATCATATTATTGGCATTTAATTGATGTAACTGTCATCATGGCTTCACCCATTTTTTGGAGTATGGCACCAAAAACCATATGGAGTATGGTTTTGAGTGAACCACCAATCATACTATTAGAACATTGTCATGAAGCATAATAATTGTGTTAACAGAGTATTAATAGGCACCCCAGTATGTATATTTAGAACTAAATACATTCCAATGAAACATACTAAAAATAATGATTCAAGTGGAGTAGAATTAGAGTGGAATAACTTGAGGGCAGAATCCCCAAGCGCTGGCCCAGTGCCTGGAGGCTGCAAGTGTTTGGATGGGGAGGAATCAAATTCAACTCAACCCTAGCAAGACGGAGTGTTCTGGACTTTTGGGCTTCCTGGGTCCAGTGATATGTAATCTTTGACTCTTGCTGGGGTAGCACTGGCCTGGACAGAGCTGGTCGGCAATTTGGGGGTTCCCCTGGACTTGCCACTCCTGCTCAAGGAGGAGGTGGCAGCTATGGTTGGGGAACCTTTGCAGAAATCCATCTTGTGTGCCAACTGTGGCCATTTCTGGAGCAGGAGGCCTTTGCTCACAGTCACTCATGTCCTGGTCACTTCCCAGTTGGATTACTGTAATGAGCTCTACATGGGGCTGCCCTTGAAGACCACCAGGAAACTACAGCCGGTCCAGAATGTGATGGTGTGCTCAGTTCTGGGTGCCCGACAGTGTGGCTATATTGCACTGCTGCTGTTTAAGCTGCACTGGCTTCCAGTTTCTTTACAGGAACAATTCAAGGTGCTGGTTATCACCTTTAAAGCCCTAAATGGCATGAGACCAGGCTACTTGTGGGACCACCTCTCCCTGAGAAATCTGCCTGTTCCACCAGGCCAGATAAGGTTGGCATGCACTAGCTCCTTTCCCTTAAATGTTGTCATCTAGCAGGACCTAGGAAGTACACCTTCTCTGTAGCTGCCCCTGCCTTGTGGAATACCCTTCCCCCAGAGATCCAGCAGCCCCCCACCCTCCTTGTCTTCCAGAAGGCCTTGAAGAGGTGGCTCTTCCCACAAGTGATAGGGTTGGATGAGGCTGGAGCTCGGTAAGATGATACGCTGATGTACCGGAGAGTGTTGCCAGAGGCACCATGCATTTTTATCTAGTTTTTATTGATTTTGATTCAGATCGTTTTAGGGGTTTTGTTGTTTTTACTGTTTTGTGCCCTGCCCTGGGTTGTGGTTTCAATATGGGTGGCTATATAAGTCTTTTTAAACAAATAAATAAAATGTCTCACAAGTAGGCTTTTGCTTGTCTAACAAGACTCCTTTTCCCCTGTATCCACCCTTAAATCTGTTCTAGATGGTAAATTCTTGATTCTGAGGACACAGTAAAGGTAATAGTCAGAAGTGTAATCTTCTTTCCACTGATGGAAACTGTTTTATTTATAGATGGGACTAACTGCTAAATCTCTGAATAAAATTTAGATGCTAGGACATGATTGATAAATGCTATCCAATTTAAAAAAGTTCACTGAAAGAGGAGACATTACAAATCATTATAATAGTATCTACAGTACATATGAGAATATAAGGTTTCTGACTCTCATTATTATTCTTAAACATGCTTTATAATATTTTTTAAAAAACCAACCCACTGCTACTTCATAGAGTTGCTTAAGAAGCCCTCAAGCCTTAAGGCATAGAGGTCTACAAAATAAGACTTTCTAGATGCCTGGGCCTAGAGTTTCCTTTAAATATATATTTATAGTCATCAGAACCCTCTTTAGAATGTGATGAACATGTTCTGGATTTAGATTTTATTCAGGATTTCCATCATTTTCAACTTTGGTCAAGAAAATACAAAGAGGTGGATTAGAAAGGTACCTGGCACCTCCTGGCTTTTCCTTCCAACTGATGCTTTCAGTAAAGCCTCTAAACTAATTAGAATTGATTTATTATGGATCAGGTACCTTATCAGGTGAAGAAGGAAATTACCATGGACAGTCAAAGGGTTAGGAGGTCAATACAGAATAGCAAAATCAATTTAAATTGATTAGACAAAAGGTCCATCTTACACATTTTACAGAGCCCAGAGGATTAACTTTTAAGTAAACATCTTTGAACTGTAAAGACAGAATTTGAGACTGAAAGTTACAAGTAATGACAGCTTTATTTAAAAAACAACAACAACCGGGCATATTTAAATAACTAATAAAGCTGTAGTTTAATCTATCTGGATGTTTATTTTTATTATAAATCATCCTCTGGATTACTGTACAGTAATTTAGGAAGAGGAGGTAATTGTATAATATATCCCTACATCAATCTGTTCAGAAGTTTCCATTTAGATGAGATGACTAGCCATTTAGAAAGCTACAGAGAATGAAGAAAATACATCCCAAAGATGGTTCTAATCCTGTTATTTTGCCTGATGAAATATTTACTTGACACAAGCGTATTTCTACTCAAGATAGGTGAGGTCTGTCTAAAACGTTTACCTTAGAAAAATAATGAAATGTACTTTTTCTTTATTTTGTACTGAAGCAAAAATAGTGCTATGTATGAAAATAAATGCCACCCACACTATCATTATCCAAGTTCATTTTAATAAGGTCTATTGAGAGTTCTACATTTATACAGGCTTATATTGCTCATCCGATTCAAGTTTTCAGCAATGTCTAAAAAGTTTCTTTTCTACAGAGAAAAAATTATCTTTGAAAACATTTCTTACCTTCAATGGCAAGCATGGCTCTTAGCTCCCTGTTCAGCAGTTCGTACCGCCTTTCTAAGTCATGTTCCTTTTCCCTAGGCAAATTGTAGAAGTTCATCAATATGTTAATTACTAAATCATTAAATGCTTAAAAGAACCTTTAATTTTGATTGATTTTTAGGACTCTAAGCTGACTTTTTCCTGAGGATTAAGCTACTCTAAACAAATGATATGCAAGAACAAAACCTTATTCAGACAGGATCAGTGCTTCCAAATGCTTCTTATACTAAGTTGCAACATTCATTGGAAAGTACAGTCCCTTATTCTAGCAACCAAATCGACAATGATACTGGGCTTCAGCATCTCAAAAGTGCCTTGTTTACATTTCTTGAAGTTTCTCATCCCTCCTCAGTTTGTTAATATTTTAACATTTTATTTCTGAACATTCTGAGGCAAGCGTTGGCTTCTAACTACCCAGACCACAATCTTTCTTTGCTCCAGAAGGCTCTGTGTCCCACATAGCATATAACTCGGAGCCAGTGCTTTGTATTTCAGTGCTGTCAGCTAAATGTCCTTTTAAAAAAAAATTAAAGTTAGAAAAAGGATGTTGTTTGCATGTGGGACTCTGGGAGGGGAAGTGTGAACAAATCTGCATGGAGTTTGAGGGTCCATATGCTGTCTGGGCGTGTTTTTGAGAGGGACACTTCTTTTGAGGGCTACAGAATGCAGGACATTAAATATATAACATCCAGTTATTCTTCTGGTTTTCATTGATTCTGGGTATGAATATGTCCATTGAGAAACATCATGCATGGAAGGAGGAGGTCAACTGACCTCAGATTGCTTTATTCCACCAAATTGTACCCCTGATTAAGAAAATATCAATCAATCAGTCATTTTAAAACCTACCATTTAAAACTAGCTATCAATCTAAGAGGTCTAAGCTAGCTATCAAACTAAGAAAGGATCAAGTCCCACCCTCCCCCATGGATGACAGTCTCTATCCACATTGGGCCACTTCACACTTCTTCTAGAGCAGGGGTTGTTAACCTTTTTATGCCATGAACCCTTTGAAAGTCTGGTGAAACCTACAGACTCTTCCTCGGAAAAATATTTCTAAATGCATAAAATAAAACACATAGATATATAGCTTGCTTTACAAAGGAAAATGATTACACTCAAATATCATCTAGTCAGAAAAGCTTCAAAATTATCAGATTCTAAGCTAGGTACACCATTCAGTAACTCCCTTTATGTTTAAACCTTTTCCATTATTACAGGTAATAAGAATATCATTATGCTGCTGTGACATATGCACACACATACTCATCTTTAACTTTCTATGAATTAGAATTCATATTTATATTTTCAATATTGGAAAAAAACACCCATATCAGCCCTATCTTCAGGGCTACCCCTGAAGGCTGTTAGAGTTAATGGCCTTATGGTGCCATTACAAATAAAAATAAAATGAGATAATAAGTAGATGGAGGGAACAACCTCTAATAATAAGTCTAATAAGTAGATGGAGGGAACGGCTTCTATGAGAGGGCCATATGAAAGTACCTGGAATATTCCTGGCTTAAGGGCAAGTGGTTTCTCCAGGAGCTGATTATGTGCACATTTTTGTTGGAGCAGAAGGCCACAAGGCAGCAGAGAACCCTGATTGCTGAGCAGCCACTAATTGCTGCTATTCAGATTGCTGCTGTAGCCTCCATGATCTGGGCGTCAGGGCTGGAAATTCTGGAGTTTGCAGAGCTCAGCACCTCTCATCTAAAAATACATGAACCCTTCCAGAAAATAAGCAAGTAATGCATTGAAGAGAATGGAGGAGCTGCCGTGCAGTAGTGGCCAATGCTACCATAAAGGCAAACAGCAACTTTTGCTTCATGGCAAAACATTCATTTTTGTAAGTCTTGCACAGAATAAATGGTGGAATGTGCACCCCCAAAATCTTCCTGCCAGAGTTTAGTGATTTTCTAAAAGGGGCTTGTGTATTTTCAAACAAGGCTTGCCCTTCCCCCCCCCCCCCCCGCCATTTTTATCATTCATCTGACAAAATAGTTTCACCTTCATTTCCTTTAATAAATAGCTTCACCTGCAGTCCTGTAAAATGATCTTCCACTCTCTGCTATTGGCCTAATGCTTCTGTTTAAGAAGTATCGGATGACAGTGGTGTTTGATGCTTGGAAACTGTCCAGTTTGGAAGACTGCTCAAGATTTATAAACCATGATTTATGAAGTTGACATAACTTCACGTGTTCTTCCCAAGGCTTCTCCTCCTATACCACTTTAGAGCTTAGCTGCTCTATGATGTGTGTTAGGTGTGAGCCCGCTTTTTGTTTAAGCCAGGACGCTCTGGCTTACTTCAGTTTACAGACCTGGGTAACAACCCAGAGATTTTAGAGAGCAACTGCCAGTCAGAGTATGCAATACTGAATCAGGTGCATAAATGTTCTGATCTGAAATAAAGTTCTTGTCTATGTTGTTTGAAACCATCCTTCACCCTTTGCTCCCTGTACTGGAAGTTTCCGTATTTGCCAATGTATAGGTAAAATGGGCATGACAAAGAATGCAGAAAATGCAAATCACTTATACCTCCCTTCTTTCCTACATCAATCAGTATCTAAAACTTCATCTAAACAGTTCACTTTCTCTGACTGTTGTGTCTAGCAGGTAATATAAATTAAGTATATTTAGACATTTCCTTACCAAAATGTACTCATTCTTCTCCCTATATTACAATCTTAAATGCATTTGTCTTCCAAATTAGAGGCGGTGCAAAGAGTTTCTGCATTCAGTTGAGTGGTCAAACTAAGAATGGACAGATCGGCATATTTCTGATCTGCATGTATTTGCATATACATGTGCTGTTTTTGCATCAGTTTTTAGCAAATCCTCACAAAAACTGTATTATTGTATTTGCTCATAAAAATATGTATTTTGAAATATATTTTATATTTCACATACGTTTTATCCCAAATCCTAACTTTATTATTTTTAAGTAGACTACAGCACTAAAAAAGTCAGGAAAGAACGAGGTCTGAAGGGTAACAACATTCTGATTTGCCCACTGGTCCTAGAAGTGCAGATTAAGTCCATTCCTATCAGGAACTGCAAAGAATGACTGACATGTATAAATGAATGTTTATGTAGGTTAGGTCTCTACCACTCTTATGCAAAGAATCTGTGAAACTCTCAGTTAAAGCAGATTGATATGTAGAGGTTAATTAATTTCCATGTACCAATTTTGGACCAGGGTGCTATGTTTACAGAAGTATATGCTTCATACGTTTCTATCTGAATTGAGTGAAAACTGAATTATTTCTTCAGTTTAATACATTTTCACTACATACGAGGAAATATTTTGAAGTCTTATAGAAAGGAAGCAGAAAAATTGCCAACTTTTGCATTGTAATTCACAAATCAAGACATACTTACAGAAGAGAAAGTTGATTCATTCTTCTTATCAAGGCGTTTTTCTTATTGACTAACATGAACCATTCTTGCATCATAGCTTCTTCTTCTTCAGTATTTCTTCCTATTAAAAACAGAGTTGTTTGATTTATAGTTTAAAGGCTCAGTGATAAGTCCAACTTAATTTTTATTTAGCAGAGTTTTCAGCCCCATTAAGGAAAAAACAAACAAACATGTACAGGATCCAAAGGGCTCAGTAATATGCCACGTCAGCTTTTTGACAGCAACCCTCATCAGTCTCTAAAAAAACTGCTCTCGATATTCCTTGCATCATCCAAACTGTAAAAGGCTATCATGGAGGGAAAAAAGGGTTCCAGTTTCCTATTTATCTATTTATCTAAGGCATTTAATATAATCTTTTCAATCAGTTCTATTGAACGTATGGTTGGAAAAGAACAACAACAAGTTAATAGCTGGCTAAAACAAATTCAACTTAATTTCAGAGATACGATTAAAATCTAAAAAGATATCACTGAAAATATTTTAGAATTCCAAAAAATTAAGCATAAACATGACTTGCTTGTTTATAACACCTATTTCAACCACCACTCTATAAAAACCTTGCCCACTATCAAAAGAACAAAAGTGGAACCAGGCTGACTTCCCTGGACAGGAATTTCAGGCAATCATTGATTGGTCCCTCTCTTGCTTTCCTTTCAGATTAGAAGGGCAGTGCAGCACTTTGGATTTGAGGAGGAAATGATGCTCTGAAGGTGCTCAAGTGGCACATGTCCACAACTCTGTGAAGCACCTCTGCCTTTTCCTGGGATCCCATGGCTTCCTTCCACAACCACTGGGAAGAGATGATTTGTTTAAGGAGTTGTCAACAGGTGTTACACATGTACTTACAATACATACACCCAAAGCACCCTTTTCCCTTGGAATCCAAAGTAATGTATAGCACCAAAAATGGTTCTCTGATTACAGAAGGAGCATCTTCCAAGGATATTAAAATTGAATAGGTGTATTATTAGAGAATGTGGATTCCTAAGCAGTTTATCCATATCGGTTCACTGATCATAGCCAGAACTATAAACTATATCCCAGTGGCCTATAAAGTTATTGAAACAAGGGATGGCCTTTGTCAATACATTTTGCAGAATTCATTACAGTCCTCCAAGTGGAATATCACTAAAGCATGAATCATCACAGTCACACAGGACATTTCTAGAAATGGGGAGAATTCAAGCATTAGGCTTGGTTGAGTATCCAAGGTTCAGAAATGATTCCAGGAATTTGTCCATGGCATGAATCTGAATATGCCAGGAACATTCTCAAGATGTGAGCTTTGCAAGGACAGTACAATCCTGTTTAGTACAGGTTAGCTTTCTGCTATTTGAACAGACTTTTAACTATCAGAGCACCTCTATCTTACTGTGATTAAGCTATCATAGTTTGCTGCTTTTCTGTTTCAAATGATGGGTAGTGCAAATGAAAAAGACAAGTAACTTTATATAACCAAAGATGTTACCAGCATACTTAGATTATTATTTCTCATAGGCATTTTTATTCATGGTGTATAATATAATTTGAAGAGTTTCTACAATGGAGACCATCTTTGCAATGCACCTACTACAGTGAATCAGTAAGGATGTCTAATGCTAACTAACATAAGCACCAATAAGCCACTTTATCGATTCTGGATCTGCTTCTTCAAATTAAGAATTCAGCTATTTTCAGTGAGACACAAGCCACATACATCTTATACATCTGTACTCAAAGGCTTTAAAAATAAAATCAAACCAAATAAAACCAGATCCCACTGAGTTCTGTCAACAATGGACAACAGGAAGCCCACAAAACTGTTTTCTGTGACCACTAGACTTCTTAAAGATTTTACTGTCAAAATTCAGTTGTAAATTATCAAATAATCGAAGAATGATCTCTTATCATTTTTTATCCTGCATCCCAATTCCACCCTCAGGAAAACCGTGCAACATCTGGCTCCCAGCATGGCATCTCTGCATTATGCCCTGCCTGCTGTGACCACTGAACGCCAAACTAAAATAATGATTAAAAACAAATCACCTCTGCCGCAATCTATCCTCCTCCACTGGACAACATCAGGGCATGCTATGTATAAACTAACACTTTTGTCCACACATTGAACATGAGATTATGGTCCTGAGGAGAGCAGCTTGCCCAAGGACATCTAACGAGTTAAAATGGGGAGTATGAGCTCAATTTCTTAGTTGCAACATTACAACACGATTGATTTGTCAGAAGCTTTTAATCTAGACATCTGGAACGCAACATTTCAAACGCAATCTATCAACAGGTCTCTCTCTTAACTGTGAGGAAATGCAATATTATACAATAATGCACATTACTACATCTATACAATACTGTAAACCGAAGCTCTAACAAGATACATGAAAAGTGGTGATGTCACACTGTACTTACACTGTCATTTTGCACAAGGATGAAACTACAAAAGGCCTATGCAAAACTTGGCTTTTAAACTGTACCAAGTTTACAAGGACTTTTCTTTTGCATACATTTCAAAAACATTATTTACTCTCTGGTAAGTTAATTATATGCTCTCATTAAAGCGAATAAAGAGTTCAGTTTAATAAAAAGCATGTGCTGGGGGTTTTTGTTCAGAAAACAAAGACATTGGCATGAATGTCTGAAATTCATACATACATTTTGGTAATCATAACTGCATTTTGTAAATGCAGAACATTTCCCAAGATTTGGAATATTCTCAGAATTCATTCAGCTTGTTGAATGGTGGTGCCCACCAAACTTTGGACACTGACTGTAACAGGTGTAGCCGATTAACCTTTGCTGCTCTGGAACTGAACTAAAGCTATTTTCTTATTAGCAGATTAGCAGTAGAAATAATAGGTGTCCAGAGTTTGCTGCTTACAGTCCTTCATTTGTGGTAATAACTGCCATTCCCATAATCATGCTTTAAATGGTGGAACATTTCCTTAAATATCCATGCTACATTTAAAATTCATGTGATGAAAATTATGGTTGTGGTTGTGATCAAAAGATATTAGAAATGCTAGGTACTTTCTCTTTTTCTTTTACCAATGACTCTACCACCTTGCACGTTTAATGCAAATATTACTTGATGTTTATAAATTGTCCTAAAACCATTACATCATCCTTACAGTAATAGGGCCATATGATTATATTACACACATGCACTCATGCATATTACTCCTTCCTTTGATGTACTTCAAATATTTGGATACAGAAATGGGAAAAACACAACCAACAAAAACACCCAAGAAGAACCTCAAAACAGCAATGGTAGGCTGTAAGCAAGAAGAGGAATTCAGCCCTCTCATATATATATATTTTCAGCCCTGTGTGATGTAAGGGTAAGGAGACTACATGGTGCCATCCAGCTGAACAAGGCTTCACTGAGTTTAAACGCACGCGCGTGCGCACACACACACAAAACATGATAATGGGCCCAAATTGCTTAAGGAAAAAAAGATCCAAGGTGTTAGAAAGGATTGGATAGAATGACTTTTCTTTCTATATAATATCAGTAATTTGACTAATTCCCTGGTTAACAATACAGAAATACCATGTGTAAGAACTGGTTTGTAGCACACTTTTGACAATTTTTTATTACTGAATATTTCATGATCTGAAGCTTATTCCTCTCCCTTTTCCTTATGAAACAAAAACTGGAAAATTTCCTGTTGAGGAATTAACAGCTTCTCCTCCACAAACAAATAGGGAAAGGCCAAACACCTCTTCACAGTAAGGATACAAGACCATCAGTCTGTACTGCATTTTATACAGCATGACATATTCTTGCATTGGAAGGATACACTTTCTAAAATCTGACAATGGAAGAAGAATGGAAGGGCAATAGAGGGAAGGCTAAATAAAAAAAGAATATGAAGTTACTTCCATTTCACGTATCTTGTCTCAGAGAAAATGAGACCTTCTCCAATGTAGGTGCCATCCAGATATGAAGGACTGTTGAGGGTCATATCACCAAGTGTTTTAGAAAGTATTTCCTAGGCACAGGAATTGACACAAAAAGGCTAGATAGACAAGATAGTTCTTTGAACATCAGACCCATATTGACTTTGCAATGGACTGAATGTGAGGAACAAACCAAGAGAGAAAAAGAGGGAGGAGTCAGATAAGACATAGCCTTGACAACAAGGAGAACAATTGTTATTAATGGAGGATAAAGTGAGTGTTTGAGAGAAGGATTGCTTAGAAGGAAACATGTTGGTCTTGAATATTCTTTTAAAATGGTGATTTAAAAAAAAAGCAAGAGAGAAATGGTGGTAGGAGAAAATGCGGTAAGAGTGATGGGGCTATGTGTCACTCTGGTCAGAAAGCAATGAGATTCAATGAAACCAGAGCGAAGAGTAATGGGACAAGAGGGCTCCCAACAATGAGAGGGAAAGCAGCTCTAAAGTTTCCTCTCTCACAGAAACACTGAAAATGGCTAAATGGTTAGAAAGAGAGAAAAGCTATCTGATGATAAAATCACAGGAGAAAGGAATTAATCAAGAAGAATGAAGTCCAAAGAGATCCCTTAGATATTACACTGAGGAGGTGACCAGGGATATTGTGAAGAGTTTCAATAAAGTGGAAGGATGGAAGCTAGCCTGGAGGAAGACAAACTGAGAGTGGCACTGGAAAAAGAAAACCATTGTAACAGTACCACTAGGATGTCACAAAATTTTAGGGCCAAAGAACAGAAGAGAAATTAGGCTGTAGCTGGAGTGGGAGAATTGGTAATGAATGATTTTAATGGAATGGGTGAGATAGTGGAATGTCTAGACAGAACAGGAAAGAAGCTGAAGGAGAGATCATTTATTCTGTGTTGAAGAAGAGAAATATTGGTAGAGCAAAGTCAGCCAGAAGTAGAGAGAATACAGAAGAAGCATGTGGAAGGATAAGATAAGGACACTGAGGATGAGAGAGAATGAAGAGCATGAACTATTAGAAGAAGAAGGAAATGGGTGAAAGAGATTGGAATGGATGTTTTTGCTTTAGAATAATATAAATAATTAGCACGTTTTTATATGAGACTATGTCAAGAACTTCTAGCTAGCTGCCACAAGCTAGGTTGTT